CATTCACCGCTGAGTTTTTCTTAGTTCTGCTCAAAACTCGTATAGTTGGTCCTAGTCAAGCATAAAAATGGACTAATCAAGAGACCACATAATTTAATCACTTTTCATACCTAGAGATATGAAATACATAGAGAAATATTAGAGAAAATGAATGAAATTGGAGAGAAATACATTCGTACAACAATTTAAACATTTTAGAGCCGACCACGTGCACTGAGCTGATGATTGGGCTGCTTTGCTTGACGTTGTTTTCGTTATTTTCGTACTGAGTTTGTTAAAGTTTAGCGGAACAGAATTTGTTCATCAAACACTGGTTTATAGCCATTTTGGGGGTCTAAAAGGTTACAGAGACAGCAAATCAAACATAAAAAGAAATGATTGTAGAAATTCTTATATGTATTTTTAAATAAGATGTACCCTTGATGCAAGTATGGATGCAGGTGGGCAATTAATCTTTTGCTTCTTCTCCCCTATTGCTGGGGTTGAACATTTTTTTTTTATACAGTGTCATGCCCAAAGTATGCACCATATGGAAAACTTATTTATTAACGGTTTTTCGACAAAAAGTTATTCCTGATAAAAGTTTGTGCATCCTCTAAAACTAAGCATGCACCAACTAAAAACAGTAATACACATGTAATATACGAGGAGCCTTCAAATATTTGATTTTGTGACAAGAGTAAAGTACTCTTATTTTGAAAAATTTCGGGAAATGTTATATAGAAAAGTTGTTCAGCATTGAAAAATACATCTAGAGTTGAAGTCATGGACATCTGAGTGGAGTTTTATTTTTTTACCCATTTTTTTAATGGGGACTACGAAAAAAAATGGCTAGAACAATAAATAGACAGCATTCTGTATACAACGGTTCATTTCAAAAGTCTGTAATATAACGAATTATACAACTATGGTGTTAACCACGGTCAATTTTTTTGAAGANTGAATGAATCGTTAAATTGTTCTGTAGGGTTTTTCCTACAACTATTTAGTTTAGAAACATTACATCTCTTTATTGATTTCAATTTCATATAATAAATTATTGTCAGGAAATTGAACCTTCATAACTCTATTAACGAGCAGTCGTACAAAATATCCATCTGCTTGGTTTTTTATGTTAATTATTTCCTTCTTATTTATTTTCATGGCAAATCATTGAAATACTCTATTCTCTCCAACCCAACGGTTATTGCCGATAAACATATGGATATTTAGAACGGAGCCACTTGGAATGTTTTATTGTTAACACTTTGATGGATTAAGACAAGGGCCCAAGTGGTCGACCCTTCTCGAATATATTTATGACCCTGACCATATTGTCAATGACGATTATTTCTAAAGTGACTTGAGAAACATTTTTAGCAGAGGCATTCATTCATTCTGTTCTGGGATTTCAGCCGGGCTGTTCCTACTTTTCATTCTCCTCGCCACGAAGTTACACTATATTTTTCTGTTTGCTGTTTTGTTGGTGTTATTAATAAATTTTATTATATATAAACGCCCTGTACAACTAATTAATAATTCTCCTATCACCAGTCCCGTCAGTTCTGTTGATAAGTTTTTCTCATCAATACGTCTAACAAATAAATTCTTCAATATATGTTTTCAATAGACATTAAGATCAAATTGTCACATTTTCTATGCAGTTAAAATTTCTGCATATATTTCGCAAACCTATTCATGTTCCATTAAAATAGATATTTACTCGTTTCAATTGACAACGTCACTGTTGAATATTGATGGCAAGAGTTTTTCAAAAAAGTTTTTTGAAATGGATCCCGATAGTTCTCCCAGAAATTAACGAGTTTACGATTCAGTAAAACCTAATAATAATAATATTTATTTCAGACATTGTCCCTATTCTTCAATTTCTCACCTTTATCAAATGTTATAATAAATAATAGTTTAAAAAACTAAAAAAAAACACGCTTTAATAGCAACACAAAAAGTAATAGTTCAAAAAACTAAAAAAAAACACGCTTTAATAGCAACACAAACTGAAAAATGAAAAACAATTCGCAACTAATTTAAGATTGTGTTCAACATTGATAATAAGTCCTATGGCTTGATGTAACTAATGATTTTTAATAAGTCTGAAATCAGAATGAATCTATTTACAAAAAAATGTATTTTGTTGTAAAAAGCGTGGGGTGCTGAATATCCATTGTTTTAAATACTTGGTTAGAGCTGTTTGCCAGATTGGCACCCCACGCTTTTTTACAAGAAAATTAGTTTTTTTGTAAATAGATTTATTCCTATTTTAGACTTATTAATAGTCATTAGTTACATCAAGCCATAGGACTTATTATAGATGTTAAACACAATCTTAAATCAGTTTCGAATTATTTTTTAGTTTGTGTTGCTATTGAATATTCGCACGAAAAGTTCGTTTTTCACCGTCTACCAAGTTAATATTTACCGAAATAATATTAATGGCAGTTATTCGTTCTATTACGATATACTCGTATTCATCACATATTTTGTTCGAATGATTATTAATAATATAGGATACAATTCACGACGAAAGTTCTTCGCTCTTGAAAAATTGGCTTCTTCTCTATACTCACAGTCATACCAAATGAACATCAACAAAAATTGAATCTAACAATACATCTCTATGTTTTTACAAAAGAAATATTTTCCTTTCTCATATAGTTAATTGTTTTGAAAATATTTAATGATATAGAATGAGTAAAAATATTTCAATTTGGCATAATTTTCCGCTTTAATCCGGATGGAAAATAAAAAAAGTCACTAAATAGTTAGGACTATTTTCACAGTATTGAAAACAATACCATTTTGTTGATTTCAATAATGCACAGATAACATTCAACATAACCTATTGTTGTTTTTCCGACACACCTTCTTTAAAGTAGCGCATTATTTAATTTTAATTTTTCTACAGAAGTCAACTGTGGCTATTGAAATTTGGTCACAATTGACAAAATTTATGGTCAGAGTTTTTGACCCTGTGTAAGGAAAAAATTGAAACTGTATATTTACGTGGTGGCGTCCATGACAAAATATACTGTGTCAGGATTGTGACGAATTTTGAATATTTTAGTTCGGTGAAAAGTTTTTTAAAGAAACCTGGCAATATTATAAAGCAGTGAAGAAGTTCAAATAAATGTGTGCTTAAGTATTGTTGAATATGTATTAACTGGTATCAGAGATGCTTCTTTTAGAACTGGCATTAAGAGAGCGTGTAAGAGAATATTTTGCAAAGAAAAATAAATTTTGTAAACGTCATAAATGTTCTTAAGGAACGAAACATGTTTGGGAAGAGCGTTATCTCCTTTTAAAATTGTATTAGGTTGTTTCAAAAGTTTTGTCCGTTTTCATGAGTCTACTTTAAACTGTAATATCTCAGTTAATACTTATTCAATTAATTCCAAATAAGCGCCATTTGAATCACTGTACTTTTGCCAACGTAACACAAGTCGACTGATTCCGTCAGCATAAAAACGTATGCTCGGGATTCGAATAATCGACGAAGGCCGTTTTTGCCTGGTCTTGATTGGCGAAGGTTCTACCTGTGAGAATGTTATCGAAGTGTTTGAAAAGATGGTAGTCGGTTGGTGAGAGGGCTGGGGGATATGATGTATGAAGTACAACTTCACGCTCAATTCGTTTAATTGACCTTTCCAATACGTTTTAAACCATCATAAACCGCATGGGAGCTGGCGATCAGTTCTTCCGCCAGCCCACACACCGTTTGTGATGGGTCAGTCTCCACCGCGGTCCTCAAATCCTCGTCCTGGATTACTGAAGGTCGACCACTTTGGGTCTCACGAGGCTAAAATCTCCAGAACGGAATTTCGCAAACCAACGTTGAAAAGTGCGTTCATTGACACTATCATTACCAAATGCCTGGTTAATTTTTTGAGTTGTTTCGGCACGCTTTGGTTCAATTTGAATTCATAGAGAAAAATTGGTCAAAAAAAACTATTTAATCCTGGTGATCCTGATCAGGATAATGAGATAAACTTAAGAAATTATTGTACTGTCACCTATTCTTGATAAGTGTACAAATTTGGTCCATTTAAAGTTTGTCAATATCGAGTTCAAAGGTGTCGGTTATAAACAAAGAAAGTATAAATTGATTATTTTTAAGCAGAGAAGGTGTTTTGTAATAGTGATGATGAACGCAACAATAAAATATTTCAATTTGGATTTGTAATATCCTATAACGATAAAACGTGCATTTGGCCAGAACACTGTGCGGTACGCAACTTCAGGATATATTGTCTAGCTATTAACGTAATGAGATCAAGAATAATCCGTGTCATCGCCCTTGATGCATATTCTGGTCTTGAAATCACACATCTTTTGAATGTTATTTCAAGAATACTGACGTAATTCTGTTAGTATTCCCAAGATAACTTTATGTTTTCGTTTATTAGGCTATGTTTAACTTGTTCTCTTCAACCGCTCTCTTCCATCAGTCAGATCTCATTTCTGCAAAAATTCACTTCGCACGAAAAGAAAAGAAATCTCAATTTTGTTATTCAAACTATCTTTTATGTATGCTGGAGGTTGTGAAATTGTATTGGAAGTATTGATAACATTGAGAATAAAATGTATGGAAAAGACAAGTAATATCTAGTTATTTTAAACTAATTTTTTTTCAGACAGGAAAAATTTTTGAATACGATTTAACTGAAAACATTGAATGATATTTTCAAGACAACAGTCGTTTAAAAGCGATAACCTATCGGATCAAAACACCACGTCAAGAACTATTGGAAGTATTTATTTTTAATATATCTCAGACGATATTAATTCACATTTGTAAAAAAAAATGTATTTTGTGTATGAAATTTGTGTTTTCCAGGCACATTTGAGAGAATTTTTGGCCTCCACCTGCGGTCTTATATGCCATTACAAAAACACTCAACTTCCACTACATATTTATATTATCTGTTTTGATTATTTCTCAGTTTATACTTGCGCTGCTTGGATTAAAAAAACAGGCATCACAACCCATTTCTATTTTTTTCCAGCCTGCCGCAGTCGAGGAGCTTAGAAGATGGACATCGAACGAGGCTTTGGGTGACATAACCGTCACTCCAGATTGCGCCAATCGCATTGGCCCGAATGTCAGCATGACGGACGGCGATGCCACGGATGGCACGATAGCGTCGGATGACGAAGGCATCGACCATAAACTACCCTCTCCCGAAGAACAACTCCAAGTCGTGGCGCTCAAGTGAGTTTTTCATAATTGAGAACTATTTTTACTCATTGAAGTTTTTGTGACACGCGAGAAACTGTCTAAGCATAACTTATAAACCAACCTGTTACTTTATGAAAATTGATATGAGTATCCATGATGATAATTGTACAATGTTCACAGTGAAATAATTTCAAGACGCGTTTTCCTACACGGTAGTTACATCATTTGAACTGGTGCATCAAACCATTCTACAATGTGTTTTATATGGCAGTAGGCAATTGCAAAAACTAATTAGATGAATGATTAAATAAAAAAAGGTATATTACCTACAGAGCATGGCATACCTAGTTCAAGTAAACGATATAGTGCAACTTACCTTCCAACAGCTCCCCTTTAATGATATAGTTAGGGAGCTAACTAATTTAGTTATTCAATAATCATTTCTGATTATATAAGAATCACAATGAAGAGTTTTGTCACAGCAGCTCACGTTATGGCCGGAAGTATTCAATTTCTTCAGTATGATTTCAGTTGTAGGAATCTCATTTCTTTTGTAACAGTCGAATATTGTTTTTTTCAATGATTTTATCAGATGAACATCTAAAGATTTTGGTAATCCTGTATCACATCGCGTCTTGCTTTCATAAGGTTTGTTTTTCACTATTTTACTTAGAGTTGAGAAAGGAATTTTGGTCAAATCTGATGTTGCTTGTAATGGTTTGTTTCCTTCCAAATCAAACTTGAGATGTATATTCTTATATACATTGAAACATACTCTCTGTGTTTCAATATTCAGATGCATCCGAATCTTATTCGCTGTTATCTCTTTTTCGCATTGTTTACCATCGCTATTGAAATCGCTACACTGGAAAAAGTCTGCGTTGTTATCACACTCGTTATTACTATTAGTACTTGTCCAAGGACGCCACATTTTAAGCAGATAACAAAAATTTACAGTATTAATTATAACTGCACCAATATCGAATTTCAACACTCCAATTGCGATCAGTTCCTGAACTGAACGCGACGGCGATAACCATCCCCGCATTCCCCGATTTTTATTCGTCACCGTAATATGACTTCAAATTAATGCAGAAAATGAAGGACAATAATTGAACCTACTGGAACCTCTAGTAATCAAAAAACGCAAACATACAAATGACATTTCAAACGACCAACAAGAAGTTCATTATTGTTAAACTTGTTTTCACACAAAGCCAAAGTAATATTGCATTTTTTTTCAACTACTTGTTTTACCAGACATTCATTCATCTACTCAAGTTTTGTAATTGCCATCTGTACATTAACCGCTTCCTATTTCTTAATTCAAATAAAACAAAGTGCATGTGAGACATCGAAATGCTTTATTCGTTTGAAAAAGCTATCGATGGAATATAACATCTTTAAAATGTCCGCCACGGCTACTATGGGTGGAGCGTTCAATTTTCCATGATTCTGGCGCACCTTTACGTGAGATGACCTTGTGCAGAATATCCATTGTGGCATGAGCTGTGTGGCGCCATACTGTTGAAACCACATGTCGTTCAGACCAAAAGAAGTTGATAATCATTGACCTATTGTACTCGTCGTTGACAGTGATGGCCTGGCCAACATCGTTCTCAAAGAAATATGGACCGATGACGCCACCAGCCCAAAATCCAAACCACAGTGGCTTTTTTTCGGGGTGCTTTCGACGCTCTTGGATCTCATGTTGATTAGTATCGTCCCAAATTCGAGAATTTTGTTTGTTCACGTACCCATTCATCCAAAAATGAGCCTTATCACTGAAGATGATTATTCGATGAAACTTAAGGTTAGTTGCCAACTGATTCAGAGCCGATTCAGCGAACACACGTTGTTGTTAATGGTCGTTTACTTTTTGTTCCTGGGTCAGTTGAATGTTAAGGGCATTTTAACTACTCGTAGTCCTATCAGCCATCTGACTCTTGATAACAATAGACCGCCCATCTTCGAGGGCAATAAACGCCCAAAAAAGAACGACTGGGACGTCCCAAAAGAGGTTATCACAGCACCGGCAATTGAATGGTCTATCAAGTCTTTTCAGCCCTCAAATCTCCCGGAGAGGATGGTATATTTCCAGCTCTTCTTCAAAACGGACTGGAAATAATTTTACCTATTCTCACAAAATTGTATAGAGCTAGTCTGGCGTGAAACTATATACCACCCAGTTGGTTGGCAGCAAGGATGGTATATAGACCTAAAGTGGGCTGGAGAGACCCACACCCCAAATCGGTACGACCAATCAGCCTTACATCCTTCCTGCTGAAAGGACTTGAGAGGATACTGGACGGACATATCAGGAGGGTAGCATTATATGCATCCCCACTGAATAACCACCAGTATGCTTATCAAACCGGCAAATCCACAGATTCAGCATTAAACAACCTCGTTGACAAAATCTCACAATCCCTTGACAACAAGGAAATTGCGGTTGCTGTATTTCTTGATTTCGAAGGAGCATTTGACAGTGCACTACCTAAATCTATAGGATTGTCTCTGGCTATAAAGGGTATAGAATCGACCATAACTGGCTGGACCTATGCCATGCTAGTAAACAGAACTGCAACTACGACTCTTCAATGCGTGGCTATCAGGTTCAGGGTCACCAGGAGCTGACCTCAAGGTGGGGTACGATCTCCCCTTCTGTGGTCGCTTCTGTTGGATAGTCTGCTTGATGCCCTCGACAGAAGAAAAGTTGATCTGCAAGCTTATGCAGATGACCTTGGCATCCTGGCAAGGTCCACGTCGAGAAGGGTAGCTTATAATATCCTCCAAAGCGCGTTGGACGTTGTTTACAGTTGGTGCCTAAGGGAGCAGATATCTGTCAACACCAGCAAAACTGTGTTAATCCCCTTCACCAAGAGAAGGAAATTGGACGATCTAACGCCACTTTCCCTCAATGGTGTGGCCATTCCATTTGGAACGGAGGTGAAATATCTTGGCATTGTCCTTGATGAAAGATTCACTTGGAACGCTAACTTGGAAAAAGTTTTACACAAAGCCAGACTGTCTCTATGGACATGTCGAAGGATTTGTAGTAAAACTTAGGGTTTAGGTCCCGAACAAATCCATTGGATTTATGTGATGATTGTCAGGCCAATGATCACGTATGGTGCAATTGCTTGGTGGCCGAAGGCGTTACAGAAAACGGCCCAAGCGAAGCTCTCTGGCATCAGTACCACACCGTCAGCGGCCATGGAGATCCTTCTAGATCTACCTCCTCTCCACATTTTTCTGGAAAGAGAGGCTAGATGGACTGCATACAGACTTGTGCACATTGCCAATTGCACAAATCAATTCAATGCAAAGTGCAACAGACTGTTGGTTGACATTGGAAGTAATAGCATTCTGAAAATGACCTCTGACTTTATGCCTCCAACTGTCAACTACAAACTGCCTTATAAAGTACTATTCCCGAGTACAGAGGACTGAATCCTGCGGGAGAAGGAAATATCAAGAGCAGATAGTTGTTTGTTCATAGATGGATCAAAAACACCTTCCGGTTCTGGTACAGGTGTTTTCAGTCGCAGACCCAGGACAGAGTTATCTACCTGCCTAGGAACTTATGCGACTGTATTTCAAAAGGAAATGTACGCTATTGAATTGTGTGCGGAGAGATTGGATAAATCCAACCTCACTCACAAGTCAATAAAAATATTCTCGGACAGTCAAGCGGCGTTGGAAGCTCTTGGCTCCCACCGAGCAACGTCTAAATTGGTAGCAAACTGCCAAAAAAGACTCCTCGATAGGAAGACTGAACAGATTGTCTCTGGTCTGGATTCCTGGTCATACTGGCCTGAAAGGCATCGAAGCTGCTGACTCTCTTGCAAAGGAGGGTGCCGCAAGCGGCTTCATTGGACCAGAACCTGTCATTGGCATCGCTTTGGGCTTTGCCAAACAAACACCTAACACCTGGATGGCAAGAAAAGTTATGGACTTCTGGCATAATCTTCCAGGATTGGCTCACTCCAAGGCGTTTATTCACCCTTCGAAGCTTGATTCCAAACAGTTGTTGGACTACAATAGAGATGAACTACGATGTCTAACAGGCCTTCTTACAGGTCACTGTCATTTGAATCATCACATGCAGACTTGGACTGTCAGAAGACAGTGTGTGTCGCCTCTGTCTGGAAAATGATGAAACTGCAGAGCATATACTTTGTGCCTGCTCCGCTGGGGATCGAATCAGGTTCTTTGAGTTCGACAGATCCGTACTCTCAAGAAGCTGGGTTTATTTGGCCGAGTGTGAATAGGTGTGAGCCACAAAAAACCCTAATGGGTTGCGGTGGAGGTTCGAATACACCCACTCACTTCAGACCTGCCTACCTACCTATCAGCCATGTAACAACAGAATTAATCCAACATCAACTGAGAAAATTCTCGCGGGAGAAATGTCTAATCGAAGTTGGATTCGAACTCACTACCTTTGGATCGTGAGTCGGGCGCACAATCTTGGCACTTATTCACCGCCTTTTTGCATTGATATCATTGATAAAACATGAACTGAATCCTAACGTTTCGCCAGCACGAGTGGCTGGCTTCTTCAGAGGTTTATTCATCTTGATGGTTCACCGGTGAATAATACAGTTCCAAACCACGACGGCCTTCGAACCCGAATGAAGATCGTAACAATGAAAATCTCGGCCGCAAAAGCCTAAATCAATTTAAATACATGAGTTTATCAAATTCGTTTGTCGTCTATCTCGTGATCCGTCAAATAAGAAAAATCTAGTTAATATAACACCTTTTAGGGTTTCTAATTCTCCACAATTATTTAGAAAGTCGATAACTTTCTGGAAAAGGAAGACCGAAACCGAATACATCAATATCAACGCGAAAAACTCATAGGAAACGAGATATTTGCAAAAAATGTGCAAAAATGATTTTTGTGACCTTTGACCCTAGATTTTAATGGTCGGGTAGGTTTTGAGACAACTTTTAGGATGTCATAATAAAAGTATCAACAAGTTTATAAGCTGGGTATCTCAAAGTCTAAGGTGAATTTTCTAAGATAACTAGACAAATTACTAGTCATACAACGATTCTCAAAAATATTCAAAAAATGCATTCAACAGGCTGTTCGACTATTGTTGCCCTAATCATCTGACATTCATCGAATTCGTAGTTATTTTTTCTTATTTTTTCAATTTTGAATGTAACTCAATTCAAAAACTGTGATTATACGTGTTATGCGTTCATGAGAAAGATTAATTATTTGTAAAATTGTTTAGTTTCGCATTGTACCAAAATATTCACCATTATAAATACAAGTCAATGAAACTGTCAAACGTATTTTTGAGTAATGTTTCTTAGTGTGCGTCTGTCAATAAATTGTGTTTCAAAAAGGCATCAAACAGTTGATATTAGTAGATCGATATAAAGCTGAGTTTCTCTAATGAAAATACAATATATTTGACAGTAAAACAATTCGAAAACTGTCAAGTCACTTTGCAAAAAAATGAAACGACACCCTGGGAAAATAAACAATGCTAAGAATTTATTGAGTAACATGTTTCATTAATTTAATGTGCTTCTAAAGAAAAAGTTAAAATATTACCTGGACATCATATTTTTTTTTTGAAATCATAGTTGATTCAGTAGTATTTATCGTTATATCAAAGGTATACAATCGCTGTTCCTTTAACAGCGATTGTATACCTTCTGTAGTTCCTCAGGTGATCTTAATGTGGCCAATCAAGCAAACCACAAGCCTTTTTGTAAAATCAAAACATCTGACAATCTTCCGTTATTTCAGATTTCATATTGAATGTTGCCCTCTACTATGCAAGCACTGAACTAATTTTATTGTTACAGATTCCCAGCAGAGATCGTCGCTGTAGATATATCGGGAAGAAACTTCGATCGGATGTCAATACAGCGGCGCTCGCTCATACAAGGAGAGGTAGTGAACCGAACGACAGATGGCGACACACGTAGAAGGACTAGAAGCAGGAAGCCGCGTAACAGGAGGAGAAATACGCTCGCGGGTACAGATCAAAAAGAAATTCGCGATGCTTTAACCGCAGGGTGAGTGATAAGTTTGTTTGTTTTAAATTACACGTACTAATTAGTCTGATTGAGTGTTGGCTATGGAAATATTTCTAAAAAACTATTGAAAAACGAAATTATTTGTGAAAATAACAGAGCATGTTTGTTTGGCTTCTGATAAATTAAAATTTGTAAATATTTCCGGTCATATTGGCATTTTGTACACTCACATAACATGAACACTTGCATCCAGCAAACACTAATAGCAGTTCCTCAACAGGGAGGAGCCTTCCTCACCGACATATAACCATGAGACTGAATCTACAACTACTGGTGCTGTAAGTAGGAGCAAAAGCAGTGATATCTTGCGCTCAGCAAGCAAGAGAGAATCGCCAGAAATCAAAAAGTCTCATTTCAACACACTCAAACAATGGGGCAAGAGCAGATACGACAAGTTGATGAACAAAAGCTCTGAATCCAAGGCGGAAGCAAGAATCAAAGACGATATCGACGACTTCAACGTACACGAAACAGTGACCATGAAGAGGAAACGAGACATGGATAAGGAGAGGAAAACACACGAACGTAATGCGTCCATATCGTCTTCGGAAAAATCAAGCATTCACATGCAAACTCCTAACCCTCTCTCGTCAGTTATGAACATGGCGGTCAAATTGCGAGACAGCTCAGTGCAGAGGCGTCTCAGAAGAACTGGTGGAAATAAAGACGAACCGCATTCTTCCAGTGGTAACTGGAGCGCCAGCTCCGAGAGTGGAAGAGCCTCCATAGGCTCGGAAATCACCACAACCACTCAACCCAAGTCGACAACCTCCGCAGCAACTTCGAGCAACTCGCTAAACCATCAATCAAGCTCGGTCAACAGTAGGAGAAGATTCAATAACACGTCCACATCCAGCAGCGTTACTAGCGAAGGCACTCTGACTCCTGATATAATTCACGACTTACACGAAGATGGCGAGACGAGTTCGGTATATTCTTGTGATACGGAGGGATATTACACCTCTTTCCACTTGGACAGTGGTTTGAAAACTCTCAAGGAGGAAGACACTCCGCCTACACCATTACATTCCACGTCAGCTTTCTCAAACTCAGGGTCTACTGTGCTGTCGGCTGAAAATGAGTACGAGCTGTTCGGCAAAGGGTCTACTTCAACCACAACCAGCTCGGCCGGTACTGTATGCACCACTTTGCGTGCCTCGGACAGCAACAAATCACTAGTAATCGGTCCTGTAGTTCCAGAAAGAAAAAGTTCCTTAACCAAATCGTCCAACCGATCACCGGAAAGTTCACTAGAAAGAGACTTCAGCGATAAAACCGGCACTGTGAAGCGCAGTCCTGCGACCAATATGAAGCCAGTGGTTGTAGCTCTCGTACACAAGCAGTCCAACGACGGAGACGTTTCGCCAGACAGTGGACACAATACCTCTAGTTCCCCCATAGAGTCGATAAGTAGTCCCAACGGCGTTCGAACCAGTTCCGACTTCGATTTTTCTGAATCTTCTGACATGGAAGGCCCAGAAAGAATTGAAAGGATCCGAATAAAAACCACGATAAACTCCAGCAGAATACCGTCGATGTGCGTCATCACACCTCCTCACAGCGACGACGAAAGTGAGCACAGCAGCAACTCCTCGCACAAAAACTATCAGAAACAAATGGAGGAGAAGAACAACTTCAATCAAAGAAAGGGCGAACAAAACGAGAATGAGAAAGATGTTAAAAAGAAATGTGATGAGTCTGGTGATATACATCGCATCATAAGCACAACGGTAAATGGTTCCAATAAGTTTTCCTTGATTACGGTGGATCCTCAGTCTGGGTACGCTACCCTCGAGAGGATAGATCAACCCGACGGAGGAAGCAAAACGAAAAGTGCTTTGGACAATGTTATTTCTAGTTCCAACAACATCCGAGCACCCAGTCCGAGCGGCGGCACTGTGACCGTCAAGGAAGAAGCTAATTTGAATAAATCCCCTTCGCAGCCTATCATTAAAGCTTCTCTTCTCCCTATGAACATGTTCGGGCGACTCAAAACGAATATTGTGAATTTCGCTCACAAACGCGATCGAAGTAAGTCCCCAGGCATGAACAAGGATCAAAGAAAAATTGATGACATTCTCTTTGACGCGGGAGAGTATGTTACTATCGCTGACGTGAGAAACAATAACGAGAAGATAGCTTTGTCTTCTGAAGAGTCAAACTATGCCAACGATATTGTTAACAAGAATTTGACAAACGTGTTGTCTGGTAAGATACGGGACACAGAATACGTGAGTCTTGATGAACTTCCCTGTAACGAAAACAACAACATCACCTACACAAACCTGGACTCAGTAGAAAGCAAGAAGCAAGGCGCCAGGGTAATGCTAGACGCTGAAGGTAAAGTTGTTTACAGTTCGGATAGTTTGAGGAGAAGGAAAGGCGCGCATACCACGTTCGCACCTGGAAAGAACGTAAAACCGACGACCAGTCCCAGTCATAGCCCGCTGCCAAATCAGAGGACTATAAAGTCGGTGAGGCCAGTTTCCAATACCCAGAGTCAGATGGTAGCAGCAGTACCCACTGTCGAGTTCAATCGTCCGGTTTCTCCAAAATTAGAGACTATTCCAATGCCTCTGATTACACCATCGAAACCAAATTCTCCTAGGATTTTCTCCCGGGAAGCCAACTATTATACACGAGAAGCTGGATCCGATTCGCCTGCTCACGAAAAAGGTAAGGACCAAAACCCAAACACCTTCACCCATCGCCCACATACCAAATACCCAAACACAACTAATAAAAAAGTCAAGGACCGAAAAATCAAACGCAGCGACAGCTACCGCATCGCGAACTCGCCAATCACATTGGCTCTTCTGAATAAAAGAATTCAAAAGCTCGCTATTGAAGATCGCATCGAAAAAGAGATCGCGAACGAGCTTTGGCGCGAAAGGATAAATTACCCTCCCAGCGTCTCTCCCGTTGTTTCGCCTAAGCTCTGTGAACGGCAGTGTCACGTTTACAGTCAGGCGCACGCGCAAAAAATGCTGCTCGCTTCTCCCACCCGCGTCATCATTCCTAGAGATAGTACGGAAAATAGAGTTAGGGTGCTATCCGCGTCGGTTACAGATACGGAAATTTGGTAATGCGGGGGAAGTTTTCAGTGGCGTATGAAACTGTCCAAGGGATAGGGCGGTATAGTTCCATTGGTTGGTGCTTTTCGCAGGATTCAATTGTTTTATACGTGTACAAAAAAAAGTTGATCACAAGACGTCATTGGGTTTGATATATTCAGTATCCTCACCAATATCTAAAGGTCTTCAAGCATCTTCGAACTATTCATCAGAAAACTAGTTTCTGCTACTATTAGCATGAATTATGTTCAATTTTGTCTGCTGAACAATATCGTCTAGCCGCTAAGTATGTACCTGAGAAAATAGAAATCTAAATTCACTGCTGTAAAAAAATGTTTTTTAATTTTTCCAAAAATATATTCAAAATATTGCCATCAATCAATTCAATCTCACATGAAGAATATGAATATGGAGAATTGAATATTTCGAAACTTTCTTGCTTTCCAGTTTTGCTCCAAATGATAATGTCATATTAACCTGATCCTTATGTTAATGATTTCTGTATATAAAAAACCAAATAGTGAACCAACTTCTGAATGTGATCATTTGAATTAAAAATAACAGTGAAATGTCTATTTGAGATGTTGTTGATACCACAGTAAAGATCAAATTCATCAACGAAAAATTCATTCAATATCAAAACTTGCTTTTATATTGAACGTTTTCAACTCCTAACTGTTTTTATCAAAAGAGGTCTATAGGGCGAACATTTATCAGAGTCATAAAAAATAGGCAATGTGTTGAGTTCTGTCTATATGGAAAAATCAACATTGTCACTTACCTACATTACGCATTTTTTTCTTTCAGTTCTGATTCGAAAACTACGAAAAAGTCATTTAAGAAATATGAGCAAGATGATAGTGTCTTAAGAATCAAAGCATATTTCCAAATTATCAGATACCCTTTTTATCTCAATACGACCCTTCCCAAGACAGGCCTACGCCACTGTAACAAAAACAAATCGTGTTCCTCTCGGCCGCGAATCAATGAAACATTCACCCTTACCCTATCTCGTACCGAATTTTTTCGACATCATTTCTTCAGTAGCTTCTGGATGATGTTAGTTGGTAGTGGGCTCATTCTTTCCATCCTATTGTCCCACAGCTTTGGTGATTGGCCATATTCACAGATTAACAGCTTGGTGGAAGAGCAGCTACCGATAACTTGATGAATATGGCCGATTCTTATGATTGTATGAAGTTTTTGTGAGCTTGTTCGGTTCACAACGAAAAGTGTAGTGAGTTTTCTGTTTTATATTTTAGATAATCTGGAATGTTTTGTGATAGTTCAGTCGTTCAGTCAGTGTTTTGTTTGGTGTAAGGCACGTTTGTTTTTTTGTTTTTCAGTACTTGTAGATTTCCAATGTAGATAATAGATGAAAAATAAGAATGGTAACTATTCTGTGGCTAGTTTCAAATTCCTAAATATATTCAAATCAGTTTCTTACACCCCGTTTAGGGTTATAGGATTTGAAAATAATGAGTATTTCGTTTTTTCTCCACTGGATCTATGAAAATATAATTTAATGAATTCGTAGTAGGAGAAAAATAAAAAAATCCTTAGTAACATATCCTCGCAAAGTGATGAATAGTGGGCGTCTTTTATTTTTGCTTTATATCACAAGAGTATTGTTAGTTCAGTGTAGCCAATATTTGATCAAATTAATTAAAATCTTTGAAGCTACAGCAAAATTTTGCAAAATAAGCAGTTCAACTTCTGCTGAATCTGAAATATTTGAAGATATCAGTTCTAAAGCAAGAAATGAAGGATTTAATAATTTTTTGTGCGAAAACTACTCTTTTAAAAAATCGTTTTGCTATTTTTTTCCAAATAATTGTATAACGCATCGTTGAGACAAAATGTTCTGCCTTTGAAGATGAAAAATCATCAGAAATATTTATTTCCTGCATTTCTGGATATTCCAGTGTACAATTCATAAAAAACTTTGAATAACTTCATTGAAAATAAGGGTAGGAGATCGTTTTTGTACCTATGGAACTTCCTTAAAATTTAGGGCTTAAATAAACTAGTATTTTTTGATTTGTTGAAGACTGACTACATGTTTCTCATTTCAGTTTATTTTTTTGTAAACCTAATTCTGTTATTGAGTCAAGATTGTTTTGCATATCTTGAACAAGTGAAGCGAACAAGCTCCTTATAGGTTGGCCACACTGTTTACTTAATTTAGGCTCGTTATATTTTTTATGTTTTGATAATTGTCTTCCTTTAGTGGTAACTTAATGAGTGAATTTTGTGATATTTCTTGTATAAGACTGAAATCATTTTCATATTCAAACATCTATTTCAAAAATCGCCAACATAGTTCCTAGGTGTTTGTATGTTGAATGTTGCATAATAAACTTCATGTGATTGTTTTCAAAAGTTTTCATTCATTTTTATCAGTTTGCACTCCCATTCATCCGCACACGCTTGAGAGCCTTGTTTTCCGGAAAGTTTGGATGAATTTTGCATGAACTTTGTTATGCCTGTTGTAAATAATATTCTAGCACTATGTGTTTTTCTTGTGCAGTAAACTTCATTTTTTGTATATAGATTTAGTATGCATGCTATATTTTATGATTTTTTCGCAAATGCTATATGAAAACGATTGTAATAAATAATAATAAACAATATTTAACTTTTCATTCTTCTTTTTGTGCTAATTATACTAAAGTCTGTCGTTCATCTCTAACACCGGGGATATAAATAACTTCTTATCAAATGACACATACATTGGTTTTATGACAATTATACATTATTAAGTTCACCACGGTCAGTATGAATCAGCCAAGCGTCCGGTTGGGGCATTTTGTTTCGGAAGGTGCGTGAATTTAGTGGGTGAAATATAGTCTATAATCGATATCAAGCTTAATTTTTTATAGTAATTGTTCTGATGCCGGCAGGTGAGATATTCAAATTAATATTATTTATCCAGTGAAATCTCAAAAATCCAAAGTGACTTTTGTTTGAGTAACTAATCATACCCAGTGAATAATTTGGCGGCGGCGCCAAAATATTGATATTAACGTTATCTAATCCACAGTTATCTAACATTGTTTACATTTATGAATTATATATATATTTAGTCGTCTATAATAAAAAGGCTGTGTGTAGAATCGTCTGATGAGAATTTTTAAAAAAATGTTGATAAATGCATACCGGCATGCAATGGACATAACCTCAAATTGCGGTTATTCTCTATTTGATATTTTACTTTTCATTGATCGCTAGGTTTGAACTGAAAATTGGACATAAAACAGGTAGATACTCGTTTTTTACAACTCAATTGTAGACTCCTTCACCATTTTCAGGATTACCTACCTAATAAGAAAATCGATAACAAATTGATGTTCAGTGTTCCGTTTCTGTTTGTTAACGTTGACGATATTTGTTAGCTATTACATAATCAGGAAAAGGAACCAGTACTCAGTGTTTTCAGTAGTATAAATGTTATTCTTGTGTTTTCTGGAGAAAGTAATGCAATTTCATACCTATATATATTTAATACGCGCTCACAACATACAGCACACATCAGACTGTTCACAAAACACAGCGCAAAGCAAAAATATACAACACACATACACACGGACAACACATGAAAAACACAAAAACGCAAGAAATACAAAATACCAAAAAATCGCATAAACGCAAAACAAAAACACAGAAGAACTAATACAACTCACAAAAAAAAACACGCAAAAATGCAAATACGCACAAAAACACAGAACACAACACACACTCAACATAATAAAAACCAAAAAACATGAGAAACGCAAACTATCTCAGTAAAAATTTTAATTTATAATTAAAAACCAACAGTTTTATGTACTCCAAAAGACAGAAAATCACTCTTTATTGACATTGATGCCGAATGTCGTATAATTTTCAAAGACAGTGAGGTATTTGAAGAATAAGACAACATGAATATGATTAGAAAAGGAAGGCTTTGGCTTTCTACATCTCCAAATTTATGAAATAAAGTGAGAATCCTTTATAAAGATGTGTAGATCATACAAAGAAGTAAGTTTCAGACACAAACTGGAAGAAAAATTCCTCTACTTTCTTCTTTCAACTACTTCCATATAAACATTGAATTAAACATAAAAAATACTTTCGAAACGGATACTTTTATGTGAACATTGAATTATACAAAAAACACTTCCTCCTTTTCAGTTTGTACTCCAGATATTCTTTTTGGAATTGAATCCGATATCCTTCACAGGATTGGTACACAATGTCGTATAGGAAAGCGGCAAAATGTCACTTGCATGGAACACTGTCATCCTCAATGGCGGACATCGATGTTTCGAAATAAGACACTTGTCTCATTTCCTCTTCAGCACTAATCTGAATAACATTACAAAACTTGCCAGTATTTTACTGTGATATTAGGTGTGATTGTCCTGTAGTCCAAGTCAAATTTGATGTTGTTAATCGAATATAAACGTCGTATTTTTTATATGTATTCACTTTTGATAAAGATTTTTCACGAAAAATCTCCTCTTTTGTATACGACATACTCAGGTATATAGTTTTGTATGAGTACAAATGAAAAACAGCATTCTTAAAAGTGTGTCTGTCACCGATAGTGACAAGTGTCGC